AAGAAATAGCCATCTTTGTATATTCCTCTCTAAAACTCAAAACTGCCTCTTTGTGAATTAACACAATAACCTCTCCCACTTTTTCTATCTATGAAGAATTTTGCTCTAGCTTTGTCTTAATTATAGGGACTAGAGAGAAATACATATCACTTTGGGAGGTAAAATTTAAAAAATCAATACCAAGCAGAGTCCTATGGATGAAAAAAAGGAAAAAAAAAATCAAGTGTACAAATTTAAGATCTGGCTTCCCAAATAAAACTCTACTAATTAATCTCATTTCTAGCCATCTCCTAGGTAGTTGAGGATGAATGGAGATATACCAGTTATAAAGGGTAGAGAGAAACTTTCCTATAGGAATGACCTAATGGGCGTTCTCAAGTGCAACCCCATTTAGTAGGTCATAATCGTACCTGTACAGGTAATAACAATGTCCACTTGTCGGATGACCTCATTTAATTTGACCAGTCGAAATCCATCCATACTGTAGAAATAAAGCATGACCAATTAGCCTAAACAGGCAGCTGGGGAGCCTTTTGCCACAGAACTTCGAAAGCTATTATCAAGGTCCTTTGGTTCCTACACAGTGTCACTTCTTGAGATAGCCGGACTATTCTTAACAGCAAAAAATCCAAACCATTTCCTTAGTTCATACAGGACAGAAATAAAAGGTTCTTTTCCATCAGTGGAACTTATTTCTTCCTAATAATAGAGAGCCAGGCATTACCATGAGATTTCCCCACCAAGTTTCTGGAAATTCTAGAAAGTGCCACCTAGCCACTGAATCTAGTAGCCCATTGAAAGTGCTCTCCCCCAGATCATCCATAATCTCCTGAATGCCAAAACCAAAAATATTTCTTACACTCGTATTACTTGATTTCTTCTGCTACATTAAACATCATTTGCCCTCTTAAAACCCTATGCTCCTTGGACTCCATGACATTTCTATCCTGGTTCTATCCCCTACTTTTCTGATTATCTCTTCTTAACCTCAGCCAACCTTTAGATATTGGTACTCTGTATGGTTCTAACCTCTACTCTTTTCTCCATTTTTTCAGTACTCATCCATACCCCTTCCTTGGCTGCAAATGACCACTTACAGGTGGCTGATTTGCACATTTATATCTTTAGCTTAGATCTCTCCAAAGCTTCATAGTCAAAAATCAAATTATCCACTGGATATTTCATCGTGAATGTCCCAGAAGGATCTCAAATTTACTGTGTTTGAAACTATACTCGTTAACTTCTCCCCACCTCCAACTCCATCAATTTCTTCTTCTATATTTTCTATCTTGATCAACAGCATTATTGTTCATTCAACTGTATGAGCCATATAAACAAGAATGTTCTAGCACACTCCCTCTTCCTAATTGAAGTTGTCACCAAATCTGGTTGATTCTTTTTCCTTAATTCTTTAAAAGTCTCTTGAATCTGTCCCCTCCTCGTCATACATGCTGGCCTTGCTTAAGTTCAGGTCTTATTATTTCTGGCCTAGATTACTGTAGTAAACCCTGGCCCAATTTCATTGCTTCTAGGTTTACATCTCTCTAAATCATTTTGCAGAGTAATTTCCCTAAATGCAATTTGGATCATGTCACTTCCTTGTTTAAAATATTTCAATGAGATGCTTGTTCTCAGGATAAGACCCAAATACTTACATTGATATATGATTATATTGACATATGATTTCTATGATACCTACCTCATACTATTACTCTCTCGAATTTATCCCATCTGCCAGCTACATGAAAATATTTCCAGCTTCTTAGATATGCTATGCTATCTCCTTCCTCAGAGACTACGCACATGTTCCCTCTAACTGGAATAGACATCCAAACTAAGAAAACACGCGTTTCAAGGCTCAGTTCTATTGACCTCTCTTTCTACCCTACCACCCTTGCTCTCCAGTTAGAAGTTTCTCCTTTGTGCTCCTACAGAAGCATGTGCTGTTTACCTCCATGACAGCACTTACTACACTGCACAGTGGTTATCTGTCTGTGTGCTTCTAAAAGCAAGCCCCTTCTAAAAGCAATTCATCTATTTATCCTTAGCACATCGCACAGTACCTAATACATAGTGAGTGATCAGTTCATGTCTATAGGATAATTTCAATAGTACTGAAATCAGTATTAAAGCCTGTTTAGTTTCTATAATAAACTTTGAGAATACTAGAAGGGTGATGGTTCCCCTTGTGTGCTGAAGCCCTGACTCAGAGAAAGCCAGCAATTCTGTTGGCGAAGTCAGTGGACTTATAGCTAGGATGTGTAAGGAAGACAGGAGGAAATGGTTATAGTAAAAGCTTCATTCTCTTCTGGGGACATTCTTCTAGAGGGTTAATGGTAAAGACTGGGTGGGGTATATCCAGGCTATAGACACGAGGACTCTGCAATAATTTTCAGGGACAGTAGTAGCTCCCATTCTGCTGAGGATGGCAAGAAAAAATTTTAATAATAGCTACCACTTAGTGAGCATCTATTATATGACAGTAGCTCTGCACCTCATATAATTATATATTTATTCTGT